GCAGCAGATATTGGATATATCCCATCCCGCTAATAAAGTTAACTTCGATAGCGGATTATGCAATTGTTTGCGGAACAAAGATGGTGCCGGGGGTGCGGGGAGGTACGATCGGTAGCGCGGTCGAATCGAGTTCTTGATCTGCAGACCACACACAGGGATGATTACGCGAAACCGATAATATGTATGTAGAAGATATGTCAGGAAAATACGGTAATACGATTAAGGTGGGGAATGTTCGCAAGCTAAACGCCCACGAGGTGTACACTCACCCGAAGCACGCCGCAAAATGAATTCCAGTGATGCAGGATTGCAACTTCCGGACTCAGTTAATACACAAACATACACTGCACTGCGTGAGTACACAGAGGTAGTACATAGAGACGCGTCGCGGTTTATGGAAACGGTAAATAAAGCGGCTTTCTTCGTTTCTTTTGCGATATTCGCGAGTGCTCGCGCGTTTTCTGTATGTATGTATTTTCATCAAAATCCGCGTACGCGTGTTTAATATTTATTCCGTTTGCATTCTGTTAGCTATTCTATATCTCGCGACGTATTTATGTATGAATACATTTCAATATACAAACGTCTTCGTAAGTTAGTTTTACTATATAAATACTGTATGCTTTCGCTATTCCGTGGAATAATTATCATATATTAATTCAAAGTATTCGTTCGCAATTAGCGCATTACACCGTAGCCGAAAATAAGTACATTGTATACATTACGATCGCGTTGCGTGCTAATGAAGCGATTACGAGAAGTGCCATTCAATAACGGCCATTACTATGATTACCATCTGTGAATAATTTCAATTAACAGCTGCCAGCACACGCACCGCTCATGAAATGTACTGTTTGCTAAATTTCCGATTTATCCTTCCTGGTGTATTGAAGCGAACATGTATACTTGTGGATGAGATCCCTTCATAATCAGTTACCATATCGAATTGAAGGCATTTGTGTCAGAAGAAATATAAAATTTAATCTATTTACATGTATTTCTATAAGCGTATATTTTTTCGCCGACGTTGCAAAAATAGGAAAAAGTATACAAAAATAACAGATGTTGTAACAGTTAACATGAAAATCGTATGTCGTAACAGTTTACATGAAAATTACATAAAACAATAGAATGATGGATAATGTAATTAAAAAAATAAAAATAACAATAATAAGCCAAGCAAACAAAAGAAAATCTTTAAAAAAAAAAAAACAATACAGCCGACCTCATCATTTGTAGCTCAGATCATAATTGTGAATAATATAAAAGAAACTGTTAAGAATATACATATATTCAAATTACATGACAAAAATTGCGAGAATAATACAAAATAATAAAATAATGTCATTAATTAAATTTATTGATGATATAACGTACAGCAGCAACATAAGAACTTTACATTTCTGTTGCCGTATAATTTTATCATTTGTGCGAAATAAATGCTTTGTAAATTCTGAATGCAGAATAACAAATAATATTACATTACTGAATAATGTAGAAATACTGTCGGAATTAGTACTTTATTTTCATTCATTTTATATCTCGATAATCTTTACGTTGAAGTTTGCTTCAACGATGTAATAATTCACAAATGTAAGACAAATGTCACATGATACGTAACTAAAAATTTCACATAGCGCGGAAAGGAACGTACTACGATAAAATAATAAAGCAAACGTTCTTTTATAAAGAGAATAAGAGAAAGATCTAATTTTTCTGTTTCCAATGACTGTCGCATTATCTGACCGTAAATTCACAAAGATGATATAATACGTCATATTAAAAAGATACACGTCCTACTAAAATTAATAAAATTAAAATGAAAAATAAAGGTTTCAAATAAACATTTCATACAAATAGAAGAGAGTCAGAAATATTTATTTCTAAAAATGTAATTTCCTTAATTCTTATACTGAATCAAATATTAATGTTCGTTCTAATGTTCATTTTGACATATATCATTAAGGAAATGCTTATCAGTTTCCAAATCTATTATTTAGCTGACATATCTGATAATTATAAATATGACAGTAAATAAATCTCGCAGTTTAAATAAATTGAGCAATCCTCCTCATTCCATGAGAGAATATTATATTAACATTCCATACAAAACATTATACAATATTCAATTTTCGTTATAAATATCATTTATATATAAAATTATCATATAAATTATCAAATACGAAAATATCGCAATAATTTTATAAAAATTTTACATCAAAATAAATAATTTAAAGATGTGACTTTTTAGTTAAAAGTTAATAAAATTTGAAAATATATGATTTCTCAAAATTCCAAAGAAAAAAAGTGCTTTATAATGAAATTAATTGATTTGAAGAATATTTTAGTCAACGTAGCAAAATGTAATATATGTGATGCCAATTAAAAAGGTTCGAGTATATCTGGTTTTTCATTTCCTCTAAAATAACATTTTATCGGTGTAAAACGCATGCTTCCTTTTACATTTTCGTTGATTTCGTATCTGATGCGCCTTAACCATACATCGGATAAGCTTTTGACTAGAAAAGCAAAAGAGGCTTGCAAACGCCCAAGCTGAATCAACGCTATTTGCATTTGCATTCCTCTCATTCCGCATTAGTTTGTGTACTCAATTTTAACAGCAAAGCTGGCGAAATTCTCATTTTCAGATGCGGAGCACTTGCGTTTTTAATTTCCAACATTGTCGATGATAAATCTCGTAGTAATAACGGTTTCTATGAAGAAAAAAAATGGTCACGGTTTGTCATATTATTATCATACATAATTCCTGTAGCAATAACAGACTTCTTAATCTCCTTTTCTATAAATCATTTTCAATTCATGTTACGAACAATAGTATTTGTTACGTTACACATCATTAATACAATTTGATACAATCATTATAATTTGTACAAAGCGATAATGATATATATTAACTATATTTATATAAACAATTTATTAATGTAAAATTTTTCTGACGCGTTAAAAAATTATTTTATTATTTTATTATTTAATAAATCGGTACATTTGAATTACTGATTCATATTATATTTAACATTTTTTACATTAATCAGCGATATAAATCTCGATTCGAGCGAAAAATCACGGTCTCTCATTTAGAATGTTAAATAATATAATATGTGCCAACGTTTAATTTATATAATTGAACAAATTATTCTATTAGCCGGATAAGTAGGAAAAGTTGGCCTAATCGTAATGCGTATTTATACTGCTCGCACAGCTTGAAAATAAATCATCATAGCAATATCGTCACAGTCGTATTAATATTGCGAGTGCGCGCGGTCGCGAATATAAATCGCGCGCATGGCACGGCTCGAACAAAGTGGGAAATCGCTTAAGCCAGTAAACGCATCGATCGTTTCCAGTCGATTGACGTTCAACAGCGATATCCTCTTTCCCGTCGACAAAAGAGACTCCATTGTTGGACGGCGCTCGGGATGGGTACCTCGAAATCAGCCACGGATATCGAATGAGAAGCGGCTCCTTCGCGCGTTCAGCACATTCGGCGCATCCTTACCGCCCTTCCCCCTCCCCCCCCCTATCGCTCCTCGCGCGCCATCCCCCAATCCCGTCCCCTGTCATCCCAATCGCCTAAACCCCGCGAGGCGTTGCACTCGATCAAACGCGTCACGTTTCATGCCGCATCTCTTCGTCGCTCGGCCCGCATCCCGGATACGTGAAATTCTATTTGCAAGTACTCTCTCTCTCTCTCTCTCTCTCTCTCTCTATCTCCGCCATAGGCATCTCGCCCGCGGGAATCTTGACTTGTCCTCGTTCGCGGAAATTGAAGAAATAGGCGTACATGAAGTGAGCGAAAGTCAAATACCGTGGAAGTGAGTACCGCGAACACCGAGCTTCGGGAAACGACTTGTTCTGCTACAAGAACAGAATCAATTTCTCGCAAGTTCCTCCGTTGTTGACGAGCGAGCTCGCATTTCCAATATAAATTGTAACGAGTACATTCGCGGCGACGTGTGACAAAGCAACCTCAAATTGCATTTCCATCCAATTAAAATTCCAAATGAAATAAATCATTATATTATTAATATTTTTGTTAAATCACTATTAAAAATTAATAAAGCTTGAAAAAAATATAATCTGCTTCTAAAAGGAACGTTTGAAAGGAAAGCGCCTTATAATGGAATTTATTGATTTGCGGTATATATCCAAGTTTTCATCTCATCCCTTTCACGTATACCGCAATAAAATGCAAGGAAAATGTCTTAAAACTTGCAAAGCTATCAGAAAATGCGGAATAAGATGTACAATCTAATTTAGTTTCCCAGTGTAATTATATCTTTAAAGAAAAACTTTTGCGAAGGTAGCATTGCAAAATATCTGTTTCAGCATCTCGCAGAAAGATAAATGAAAGTTTCGTGAAGCTAATTGCGGCTTTTACGAGCATCTTTCTTACCTTTCAAGAATCGTTTGTCTACGAGTCTTCCGATTGCGTTGCAACATCCAACATTCCTTACAGATGTTTCTACACTTTTCTTATCCTCCTAACTGCACGTATACACGTTTACTCAATCCAACAGATAATTAATTAAACAAGCTCTCCTCATTTT